GGAACGGGAGAAGGTTTCAGGGGCAGGGCATGGTAGAGAATCGGACGGAAAAGTTGTTCAAAGTGACATTGAAAATGGAGATCATGGCAGACTGGAGGAGGAAGGTTATGAAAGGGAACTGCGAATCAAGGTTGTTGTGGTTTGCAGAAACTTGGGCAAGACCGGGAGGGCTAGCTATGGTAACTGATAGAAAGCTTAAGATTTCGCCTTGGCTCGAATAGGAATAGGAGCAAGATGTAGAGGGTGGAACCAGGTGCACTCGGTTCCAGTGGGCGGTCTCAGTAGGCCGCGAAGGGTAAGCAGGGAGGAGAGTGCCATGTTACTTTAAAAGGAACAACGTTTCCTCTCGACCGGTGTTAGGTCGAGCCACAATCTCAGACCGGACGATAGGTCTGCGCACGGGACCCTCTGGATAGGGAAGACAGGGCAGACACATATAGAAGTAGAAGAACTAGCGTTGGACAGTTCTGAGGGGTGGGGTTCGGTAAGTAATGATAATTAATTAAAGCTATAAGGTAAATTATGAGGAAGGGAATGTAGGGCAGTCATCGGTATACGAAGAGTTTGATTTGTTAAGCTAAACCGACTGAAGTTGGCGGGATAACTCCGGGTTGAATTGTGAGGTCCCCGACCTCAATCTAAATGTTGACTGAAATGAATTTGAGTTGCTATTGTAAAAAAAAAAAAAAAAATAATAAAAAAAAAAAATTGAAATGTTTGTATATTTTGTGGTGTTTTTTAAGCGAAATATTAAATAAAATTTAAAATCATTTCATCCGCGAAATAGATCGTGGGCACAATTTGACCAATATTATTTTTTTGTCAACTCTCAATGTCACAAAACTGGGAAAGTCCGAATGTCACCAAGTCTCAATGTCAACTCGCTCTCTCCTCCTCCCCCCCCCTCTCTCTCTCTCCCACACACACGCACACACACACACTCTCACTCTCTGTCTTTTGTGCGCTCGCTTAGGCTTACTGCTTAGGCTCATTGGGTGAGGCTCACAATTCACAACCCTAAGGCCCAGGTATGGTGGGTCCAGGTGCTATGCTTGTAGCATAAAGGTTGCACGGAAAGGAAGCACATCATCCCCCCCCCCCCTCTCCCGCTCTCTCTCTCTCTCTCTCTCTCTCTCTCTCTCTCTCTCTCTCTCTCTTTTCTTTTTTACACATCTAGATGTGTATAAGAGACAGGCGCTAAACTGCGCACTCACCCGTACCCCGCACG